GCATCCCATACATGTCCTGGCTGCAGTTGTTTACAATCCAGTTCCCCACTAATTCATCTGGGAAAGCAGCAGAAGATGGCCCAAGTCCTTGGGCAGCTGCACCCACGTGGGAGACCTGAGTAAATCTTCTGGCTTCTGGCTTCTGGCTTAGGCCTGGCCCAGCCCTGGCCATTGTGGCCATCTGAGGAGTGAGCCAGCGAATGAAAGTTCTTTATGTCTTTCCCCCTCTCTCTCTCTCTGTGACTCTGCCTTTCAAATAACTAAGATAAATCTTCAAAAAAAAAGACTCGCTTAGGATCCATATGAGGGTGCCTTTTTTGTTTTTTTGCTTGTAATTAGGTTTGGGGTTTTTTTTGTTTTTGTTTTGTTTTTGTTTGTTTGTTTGTTTTTTGACAGGCAGAGTGGACAGTGAGAGAGAGAGAGAGAGACAGAGAGAAAGGTCTTCCTTTGCCGTTGGTTCACCCTCCAATGGCCGCCGCAGCCGGTGAGCTGCGGCCGGCACACCGCGCTGATCCGAAGGCAGGAGCCAGGTAGGTCTCCCATGGGGTGCAGGGCCCAAGCACTTGGCCATCCTCCACTGCACTCCCGGGCCACAGCAGAGAGCTGGCCGGGAAGAGGGGCAACCGGGACAGAATCCGGCACCCCAACCGGGACTAGAACCCGGTGTGCCGGCGCCGCTAGGCAGAGGATTAGCCTATTGAGCCATGGCGCCGGCCATAATTAGGTTTTTATCAATAATAAAGCATTCTTACATCAACCTCTGTACTCAGAGTAATTTACAGAGCTATGTTCATGTTTTTATATATCAAGTCATTTTAAACATGCCTCATTCTCAAAATATAAATCTTTCAGACAATCCAAGAAAGTATGTCCAATACTGGCCAAAGTGACTGGCTTTTTTGGTTCCCAGCTCCACTCCTGATTCCAGCTCCCAACTAATGCAAAAATTGCCAGGCAGTGGTTGGGTACCTGCCAGTCACATAGGAAACTTCGATTACATTTCCAGCTCCTGGTTATTGCCAACATTTGAAGAATGAACTAGCAGATCAGAGATCTTTGTTTAACACAATGAAAATAAATAAAATATTACTGTTAAAAATTTTAAAGAAAATGTCTATTAAAATAAAAGTTCTCTTGGGGCCAGCGCTGTGGTGCAGCGGGTTAACACCCTGGCCTGAAGTGCCAGCATCCCATATGGTCACTGGTTCTAGTCCCAGCTGCTCCTCTTCTGATCCAGCTCTCTGCTATGGCCTGGAAAAGCAGTAGAAGATGGCCCAAGTCCTTGGGCCCCTGCATCTGAGTGGAAGACCGGGAAGAAGCTCCTGCCTCCTGGCTTCGGATCGGCACAGCTCCAGCCACTGCGGCCATCTGGGGAGTGAACCAGCGGATGGAAGTCCTCTCTCCCTCTCTGCCTCTCTGCTCTCTGTGTAACTCTGACTTTCAAATAAATAAATAAAATCTTTAAAAAAAAAAAAAAAAGTTCTCAACTATATACCAAACATTTCTATTTGAATGTTCCCCCATTACCTCAACACATTTAAGTCAGACTAATCACTTACTCTATAAATTATTCCTCTTCCAATTTGTTTTTTTTTTTTTTAAACTTATTTTATTTATTTGAAAGACAGAGTTACAGAGAGAGGTAGACACACAGCGAGGTATTCTAACTGCTGGTTTACTCCCCAAATGGCCTCAATGGCTATAGCTGAGCCGATCAGAAGCCAGAAGCCAGGAGCTTCCTCAAGGTCTCCCACATGGGTGCAAGGGCTTAAGGACTTGGGCCATCCTCTGCTGCCCTCCCAGGTGCATTAGCAGGGAGCTGGATCGGAGGTAGAGCGGCCGGGACTAGAACCAAGGCCCATATAGGATGACAGCGTCACAGGCCAGGGTTTTAACCTGCTGTGCAACAGCACCAGCCCCAATCTGTTTTATTTTTGACAATGACACAAGTATGATTTACCCTGGCTGAAAATATGGAAAGCTATCTCTGTCTTTCATTTCACACCTCATAATAAATCACTATCAGGTTCAGAAATCATTTCTTCCTAATACAAGCCACATTATTGTCTCCTTTCACCTACCTACAATTTGCATCTCATAGTTCACATCCAGATTATCTAATGTGTATCAGTTTATCTCCCAATCTTTCCTGCAGATTCATCTACTCTGCAGATTCATCTTTCCAGTAACCAGCGTGGGGTTTTATTCTATAACTTTTTTTAACTGACATATAAAATGTGTATGTATTTATCATGTACAACATGTTTTGAAGAATATATATACTGTGGGATGAGAAAATCTAACTAATATTATGTATTAAGTCACCGTTATTTTTCCTTTTTCCTTAGTTACAATTTTTGTGGGGAAAACACTCTGTATAGTCTGTGTTTTCCAACAGTGCGCTATATGATTAACTGCAGTCACTAATGTTGTTGTACACAGATCTCTCAAACATTCCTCCCACCTAACTGAAAGGTATCCTTTGACCAAAACCCCACCCCATTTAAGTCAAAATTTTTCAATGACTCCTTACTGCCTGCAGGACAAAAGTAAAAGCTCACCTTCCTGAACATTCAAGTCCTCCAAAATCTGACCTAATTCTGCCTTTCCAACTTGCCCTACTGCCACCAAAAATCAATCACAGGCTCCAGATGGCTTATTCTTTAACCATCACCCAGACATGCCATGAACATACCTGTCTCTGCATCTCTGTTCTGATTTTGTTTTATTGTTGTTGTTGTTGTTTTTTGGGATTTTTTTTTTTTAAGATTTATTTATTTGATAGGCAGAGTTAGAGAGAGAGAAAGGAGACAGAGGGAGAGGTCTTACATTCGCTGATTCACTCCCCAAATAGCCACAATAACCAGGGTTTGTCCAAGCAGGAGCCAGAAGCCTGAAGTTTCTTCTGGTCCTCCCATGTGGTGCACGTGCAGCGTCCCAGGGACCTAGGCCGACTTCCGCTGCTTTCCCATGCACATTAGCAGGGAGCTGGATCAGAAATGGAGCAGCCGGAATGTGAACTGGCACCCATATGCAATGCTGGTGCTGCAGGCCACAGTTTAATCTGCTTTACCACAGCGCCAGCCCCAGTGTCTGATTTTGAACATCCACCACTTTTCCTATTTGTAGGCTGTTGTTTTGTTTTTTAAGAAAGGGAGAGACAGGGAGAGACAAAGACAAGAGAGAGCTCCTATCCACAGGTTCAGTCTCCAAAGGCTCACAACAAGTCAAGGCTAGGGCCAGACCAAAGCCCAGAGCTCAGAACTCTATTTGGGTACCCACACAGGTGGCAGAAACTTAAGCACTTGGGCCATCACCTGCTGCCTCCTAGGATACGCGTTGGCAGGAAGCTGGAATCAGAAACAGAGTTCAGACCTGAATCTAGGAACTCTGATATGGAATGTGGGCCTCCTAAGATGCATTTTAACCTCTGTGCCAAAAGCCTGTCCTCTCTGGTAGGTTCTGTTCACTGTTCAAAGTCCAGGAAAACTCCTATATCTTATATGAAATCCACACTGACCATTTTCTACCTCTTATCTGTAATACTAAGCTAATACAACTGTCTTACCATATATATAGTAAGACAATATGTTGACTTTCATCCTGAATGTACCTTAAAGTCTATTAACATCAAACATTCCAACTAACATTTTTCTACATTTATAAACTGGCATCAGTCAAAGCTATTATAAATCATCAGGTCTAGTTTCCAAACTGGAAAAAAAAAATCCTATTTCAATTTTCTGAATGTAAGCACCAGATCCTTCTATCATCAGGACATAGGTCATTAAAACCTAGGCATGTGAGGCAGGCATTTAGCTTAGCAGTTACATCCCATATAGGGCCTGATTCTAACTCCCTGTTACTGTGCACCCTGGGAAGCAGTTCAAGTAGTCAGAGCCCTGCCACCCACATGGAGTCCTAGATTGTGTTCCTTGCTCTTGGCTTTGTCCATTGCTGGCATTCAAGAAGCAATCAGCAGATAGGAGCTCTGTCTCTCAAATTAAAAAACAAGCACACAACAAAAACCTAGGCACATAATGCAGCTGGCCCTTTCAGTTAACTCCCCAAAACTAATGAAATTCAGGGCTCTTCTCACTAGAAATCATCAAAGAAAAAACTGCTCTCACTTGGAGGAGGTTGGGAAAGGGAGCAGAGCAGCATTTACTGAACATTTGCTATAGAGTAGGCACTGTGCTAGCAGTTTAACACATATTCTCATGGTATGTACCCAGGAAAAAAAACTTCCCATTTTAAAGATGAAAAAAAAATGAGGTTTAGGGACAGGCACAGCAATAACTGGCTGGGCAGAGTCTGAATTCCAAATTTTCCAACTTTACATAATAGGTTCCCTGTCCATAATAAAGTATGAAGCCACAAGAGAAACCTACTACCCTAAAGTCAGCGCGCGCGCTGCCAAACAAAACATACAACTGGATCAGAAAGGGGTATAGGTACTACCCATGCCCAGAAAGTTCTAAGAAGGCATACTGAGGGGCCGGCACTGTGGCACAGTGGGTTAAGCCTCCACCTGCAACATGGCCATCCCATATGAGCATCAAGTCCTGGCTGGCCCACTTCTGATCCAGCTCCTGTCCCTGGAAAAGCAGCAGATAAGGGATGGCCTGTGCTTGGGCCCCTGCTACCCACATGGCAGACCCAGATTAAGTTCCAGGCTTCTGGCTTCAGCCTGGCCCTGCCCTGGCTGTTGCCTCCACTTGGGAGAGTGAACCAGCAGATGAAAGCGCTCTCACTTGAATGCTGGCTCTCTCCCTGTCACTCCCTCTCTATAACTCTGCCTTTGAAAATAAATAAATAAATAAATAAATAAATAAATAAATAAATCTTTCAAAAAGAAGAAACTATATTGAATGTTTTCACCACAAAGAAATGATGCTTAAGGAGACGGAGAAGTTTATCCTGATTCAAGCATTATTACATAATATATATGGGTACTGAAACATCCCATACTGTACCCCATAAACAGGTACAACTTTTACCTCAATTTTAAAAAGGAAGGACATGTGGTTTCTGAGGAAGGAAAACAAAATGAGCTTCTCATACGTTTTCCCCACCATATTTAACCACGTAAAGCTGGAGTGTGCACAACATCTGCAACAACGCGCCAGGTCCCCAGCCATGCAGGGGTCTGGAAAAGGCAGTTACACTGTAACCTGAAGAGCTACACACAATGCAGAAGTTTTAACACGGACCGCACAGAAAAATGCGAAAGCTGAGAAACGAATAAGAACTATATCACGTGCAGTTACCCAATCTGCCAATCTGCAACCGCCAGGGGCGACCCAAGCATCACTTTGCACAGTTTTTCAAATAACTCCTTACCCAACCATGAAGGAAGCCCTCCGCCTATTTTTGCCCTGAGTCACCTCCGGGGTGCAAACAGGCCCTCCCAGGACCGCGGCGCGCGAGAACAAAGGGGCGGGCGGCGGGGTGAAGCCGGCGAGTGACTAGAGGCGGCAAATCTCGGCTCGTCCCAGCGCGCGGCTGTCCCCCAGAGACTGCCCCGGGACCCCGGGCTTCCGACGAAGGGCGGCGCAGCGACCATTCTCTCCCGATGGCCACAAAGGCGGCCCGGGGACGGCCGTCGCTCCAGACAGGACTGGTTGGGGCGTCGTGGGGTCGAGCGGTGGGTGGGCTGGCCAGGCTGGGAGAAAGCCCGCTCGGACCCCCGGTGAGCGATAACTGGCAGCCAGCCAGGGCAGGACGGGTGCCAGGGTCAGGGCCAGCTCATGTGGGGCAACCAGGGCGCTGGTCCCTGTCCCAGAGGCCCGCGCCGCCGCCCCAGCAAGGCCAGCGCCCAAGGAACCCGCAGCGGCCGCCAGCAGCCTCCCTCGCTCCCGCACAACCGCCCTATTCCCACTGGGCCCACAGCCCTGACTCTAGGGCGGCAACCTCTAGATGGCCTTCGCCCGCCTCAGGCAAGGATACGAAGTAGACTGAGAGGAAGATGAGCGCGCAGCAGTCGAGGAGCGAGAAGACGAAAACCACCGCCTCCATCCTCTTTCTCCTCCTCCTCCGCCGCCACCGCCGCTCCTTCCGTCAAACCGGCTCCTGTGCCCGACCGGCTCCAGATAGGCCCTGGGCGCCGCTCGCTGGGCGAGTCGTGCCCGCCGCCCTGGCGCGGCACGCCGGGAGTTGTAGTCCATATTTTTTAAAAACTGCACGGCCGCGGGTCTGGTGCATGCTGGGAAATGAAGTTCAGCGAAACAAATACAGCTCCAAGAGGTGGACATGGACTCTTCCAGGAATACAAGCAACGCTTCTAACCCGCTGGACACCCGGGATGTATTTGCCATACGTGAAATTTTCGTTAGTGTCTGCTCTCAACTTGGGAGAGGAAAGTGGTTTTCACCGCACAGCGCTAATCGGTAACGCCTGGGCTTGACAGTGGAGACCTGCCCTTCCCTGGCAGATCTCAACTTCGCAGGACCTTGCTTAGCCTGTTACAGCAACGTTTCTCTCCCCTCTAGATATTAAGATTTTTAAAAACTGAATACATCGTCTTATTTATCCATTCATTCATTTAACAAATATTTACTGTAAGACCACTACCATGTGCCAACAACTTCAGAAATACAGACTTGAACAAGGCAACAACATGCTGCTCTGGTAGGCAACTAAATAATCGAGGGAAGACTTCAAAAGGTGATAAGCTGTGTGAGCTAATTACATCAAATTCATTCATTCATTCAATCAGTATCTTCTGGGCAGCTGGTGTATGTGAGGTACTATTGTAAATCCTGGAAATACAAAATGAACAAGAGGGCAAAGTCCCTACAAGCCTGTAGCTGGCATTAAAGTAGCAGATATAGACAAAATAAATCCAAGGGCCAGGGTTATAGCACAGCCTGCTGTCATCTGCATCTCAAAGGACAGTAGGTTGGAGTCCTCACCTGCTGCACTTCTAATCCAGCTCCCTGCTAATATGCCTAGAAAGGCAATGGAGGGTGGGCCCCTGCACTCACATGGGAGACCCCATGGAGTTCCTGGCTCCTGGCTTTTGGCTGTTGGAGCCCTGGCTGTTGAGGCCATTTGGGGAGTAAAACAGTGAACGGAAGATATCTGTCTCTCTCTCTCTTTCTATCTCTAACTCTGCCTTTCAAGTAAATCTTAAAAAAAAAAAAAAAAAAAGACCAGAGTGGCTAAAGCACAGTGACCAAAGGGTGAGCGAGTTTTGAGAAGAAGTCAGAGGCAGGCAAGGGAGGTAACACAGCCTTGGAAATCCCTGGAAAAGAGCTTAACTTTTATTCCAATATGATGAGAAACCAGGAGGAGGTTTAAGCTAAAAATACCGTAACTAGATTTACATTTTAACTACTATTTTGGGACAGGAGTTTGGCCTAACAGTTAAGATGCTGCTTTGAACACCCACATCCCTTCTCCCTGGGTCTGAGTCCCAGCAATGCTCCCAATTCCAGCTTCCTCCTAATGTGCATCCTAGGAGGAATCAAATGATGACTCGTTGGGTCCCTGTCACTTATAGCAGAAACGGATTTTGAGTTCTTGGCTCCTGGTTTCACTCTGGCTCAGCTGTTGCTGGCAAAGGGAGTGATGCAGAGATTTCATTCTCCCTCCCTCTCTCTGTCTGCCTCTCAAATAATTGTTTTAAAAGATAATAAGTAAATAAAAATATTCTGGTTGTTTGGTGCAATCAATGTATGAAAGGGGGACTGTGGGGAGCAACTCAGACTAGACTGTTACTCGAATTAAGACTTATTCTATGCATCTGCTCTCCCACAATATGGCGCTGGGAGAGGAGTAAACAGCTTCTACACAGCTGCCTCCAGTTCAACCAATAAACTGTAGGACCTGCTCCTGATTGGAGGAGAGCAGCGTACTCGGCATGTGGGTAGCAGAGTTGGGATTGGTGGAAGAGGACTATAAAGGAGGAGAGAGACAACATGCACCAGGAACACCTGGAGGAACATCTGAGCAGCCCCTGAGAGAGCCGGCTGGAGGTGTGCTGCTCCCCTGCGGAAGTGGGGAAAGTGGCCAGGGGGAACCGCCCCTCCACGGAGGTGGAAGGGACAGTAGTCAACCCGGGAAGAACCAGCAGCAAACCCGGGGAGGGCTGAGCAGACGAAAGAACAACGCAGGGTCCTGTGTCGTTCCTCCACGAAGAGGGGGAGCGACAGGGGACAAGTTTTTTAGTAATAAGGTAACTCAGGAGAGAGGAGGATGGACACAGAAATTCATATGATGGCAAAAACATCTGGATTTGCCTGACACAGCATAGTTTCATAGATTCACAAAGGGTTCATAGGTTAAAGCTGGAGGTGCAATTAATACATGACTTATAAATCAGATACTGTTACCCTCCCATTGTACTTTGTACATAGTTCTATCAGAATACTCATTATATTAACTGTCTTCCTTGCATGCTTAGCCAGTCATACCTCAGATTACAATAAAAGTAACCAACTGATTTGTTTTTGTATCCCTTGTACCTTTTATCATAAAGAGCTGGTGCTAAGTAAATGGTTGCCAAATAAAGGACTCATACTGGTGCCAGTTCAAGTCCTAGCTGTTCCTCTTCCAATCCAGCTCTCTGCTATGGCCTGGGAAAGCAAAGTGCTTGAGCCCTGTACCCATGTGGGGGACCTGGAAGAAGCTCATGGCTCCTGGCTTCAGAGAGGCCCAGCTCCTGCAATTGTGGGCATTTGGGGAGTGAACCACCAGATGCAAGACCTTTTTCTTTGTCTCTCCCTCCCTCTGTAACTCTGCCTCTCAAATAAATAAATAAATAATGGGGTTGACACAGTGGTGTAGCGGCTAAAGCCATCACCTGCAGTGCTAGCATCCGATATCAGTGCCAGTTTGAGTCCCAGCTACTCCACTTCTGGTCCAGCTCTCTGCCATGGCCTGGGAAACCAGTAGAAGATGGTCCAAATCCTTGGGCCCCTGCACCCATACGGAAGACCTGGAAGAAACTCCTGGCTCCTGGCTTCGGATAGACCCAGCTCTGGCCTTTGAGGCCATTTGGGGAATGAACCAGCAAATAGAAGACCTTTATTCCTCGCTCCGCCTTTGCCTCTCTGTAACTCTGCCTTTCAAATAAATAAATAAAACTTATACACACACAGACACAAACTTCATCTTATATACATTCATCCTGAAAAGGAACAGAAAACAAAAGCTATCTCATATTCCAAGCGATATTTTTTTTTTCTTCCTTTGTTTTATTTTTGACAGGCAGAGTGGACAGTGAGAGAGAGAGACAGAGAGAGAAAGGTCTTCCTTTTGCCGTTGGTTCACCCTCCAATGGCCGCCGCTGCAGCCGGCGCACCGCGCTGATCCGATGGCAGGAGCCAGGAGCCAGGTGCTTTTCCTGGTCTCCCGTGGGGTGCAGGGCCCAAGCACCTGGGCCATCCTCCACTGCACTCCCTGGCCATAGCAGAGAGCTGGCCTGGAAGAGGGGCAACCGGGACAGAATCCGGCGCCCCGACCGGGACTAGAACCCGGTGTGCCGGCGCCGCAAGGTGGAGGATTAGCCTATTGAGCCACGGCGCCGGCCCTCATATTCTTTATAGGCTGTTTTATTCTGAGAAAGTTAAAAAGTCAATGCCATAATTGCTGGTAATTATTAAATTATCATTTTTAGTTATCATAGCCTTTTCTCTTATTCTAATTGAAAAATCAAAACCCAGTTTCAATGTCAAAATAATGAGGAGGGGCCAGTACTGTGGCATAGCGGGTAAAGCTGCCACTTGCAGTGCCGGCATCCCATATGGGTGCTGGTTTGAGTCCCAGCTACCCCACTTCCGATGCAGCTCTCTGGGAAAGCAGCAGAAGATGGCCCAAGTTCTTGGGCCCCTGCATCCACATAGGAGACCCGGAAGAAGTTCCTGGCTCCTGGCTTTGGATCAGCCCAGCTCCAGATGTTTGTGGCCAGTTGGGGAGTGAACCAGTGGATGGAAGACCTCTCTTTTTCCCTGCCTCTCCTTTTCTCTCTGTGTAACTCTGACTTCCAAATAAATAAATAAATCTTAAAAAAAAAAAAAAAATGAGGAATACCAAATTTGGGAGAAGGAAATGATAGATATATAAAAAGGTGGTTATGTGTGTATGTTACCATGTCTGAATATATTATGCAAAAACTATTTCAAACTCCATTTCTCCTATCACTCTCATAACACAGATCATTTCTAACACAAGCCCACACACAAGCCAACCTCAATTCTGCAGCAGACACCAGCTGGGTGTCCTGCCTAGAGATAGTGTCTGATACCAGAGGTTAAGGGCTCAGT